TTTTAATGGAAAGGATCATATTATTCCGGTTACTATGCACAAAGTAAAGAATAAACTTGAAGTGAATTGCGCTACTGCATCTCAGGATGATAAGCCTTTGGTATCCGATCAAATTTCTCAAGAGACGGATAGTAATGAGAGTGATAATGAACCATTGGAAGAATGGCATGCTCCTGTGAGTTTTAGCCTAGATTCTGATGATCTGACTTTAAAAAAAAACGCATGAGTTATGAGGAGTTAGAAAAATCACTATATATTGCTCTCGAGTCTAAGGCTGAAATAAATGATCTTTGTGAAAAGTTGCAAATACGTTATGAAAAGCTACTTAAATATATCTCCTCCAGTAGCTAATAGGCGAGTCGTTTTTGCTTTATTTTTCTCATCTCTTCTGGCTTCTTTTTCTTTTAATACAACCAGATCCTTGCTACTTGTTTTTTCTGTCTCATTAAGTGTAGATGTTACTACATTAGAGTTATTAGTAGATATTGGATCAGATATTTGAACTGATTTAGACTGAGATTTGGAACTTCTCTTTTTTATTTCTGTATTAAAAAGAGTAGTAGATTCTGGATATAAAGTCTTTCTTCTGATTTGATTAAAATTTTCAGATGAAGTTGATGAGACTAGTGTAGATATAGGTAATATTTCAGTAGAAATGGTACTTTGTATTATTTGTTGCTGGCGTTCTCGATTTTGCCATATATCATCTACTCGATGTTCATTAATATGGAAATCTCTCATAATTCTATACTTAGGTACCTTATCTTTGAGTGATCTAATTGTTTCTATCTGCTCAGAAGTTAGATATGTAGATTTTCGGCGATAATATGATTTTAGAAATGGTGTATCCATGGTTTGATTTTTTATCGAATATTTAGAATGATATTTAATATTTTAGAATGATAAAAAATAATATCTATTATTATAGATGAATAGGAAATATTAGAGTGAGCAAGCCTTCGACTAATAAAAACTAATACAAAGTACTAGAGATTAAAATATATAATTACTATATAACCTAATTTAACAGTATCTAATATATTTTTTTAATAGACTAGAATATCTAACATTAAACATCATTAGATAATAATAGAAATTATTAATGAAGCTAGTTTTATTAATATCTGTATATTATCTATTATTTATTATGACTAATGTGTGTACATTACAAAATATTAAAGGCCATCGACTTGGTAGTATGCGTGAACAAGAGCTGGAAAAAGAATTATATAATGCTATCAAATCTAAAGCTGAAATTAATGACCTTAGTGAGAAATTACAGGATAAATATATAAAGCAGGTGAAGGTTTTTGATCGAGAAAGAAAGGGGTGAAATCGGGATTCATTACGAAATAATACTGAAATCCAAAAGTTACACACACATGCTTTGCAGGTTATTAATGAGCATAAGCAACTACAAAATGAAAATACTAATCTTATTTCTCATAACGCACAAAAGGATATTTTTATTGCTGAATCCAAGGCTGAGAATGTTACAAAATCTAAGAAAATCAAATCACTCAAGTCTATGATAAAGATATTGGAAGATAAGTTAGCTTCAGCCCAGAAAGATATATTTTCGATTCAAAATGACTCACTAAAAAAAGAATCTGAGATAATATCTCTTAAATCTAAAATAGCTGAAGTAGAACAAATGAAGAGTGAATTAGTCTTGAAAATTAGTGAGCTTGAGCATCTGAAATCTGAGGATGTATCAGAATCTATAATTGGTGGAGATGATGAAAAAAATACGCAAAGCGAGAAACAAAGTTCCATAACCAAGTCTGACGATATATCTTTGGATAGTACTGATCTCAGTAAATATTTTATACGCGGAAAAAATATGGATCCAATAGAAAAAATCGATGGTAATATGTCGACATATACTAATGATGAAATTACCGAACTATCAAAAAATAATACCAAGATCAACCCCAAAATAAATGAGGAAACTAGTATTAGCGAAACTAACAAAGATAATATGCTAGATATATCGATAAAACCCAATGTATCACATATTATATCTGAAAATATGACTCCACACCTTGCTCAACGGGAAAATAATAGCGGAGCTAGTGCTAAAGCACATATGTCCTCATTGATTGAATCACATTCTCAAATTCCAATAGAAGCAATAGGAGCGATTCCCATTGTATCAAACACTTTGATGTCACCGCTATCGGCATATATTTTTCTTACCTTATTAATTATTGCTGTTATGTGGTTCGTTATATTGAGATGTACATGAAATATAGGCAAAAAAAGTGATCGGCTATGGGATACATGGATCAGATAACAGGCTGTCTATTTGAACTTCGATATTATTCATGTACGAAAAAATATTATTAATAATATATACGCATCGCGATATTGGAACTATATTTATATTGAGCTGACTGCCTTGTTTCATGTATTTAGAAAACTCTCAAGTGCTAGTTGATCTGTTTTCGATATATGAGATAAGGTA